GGATTTTGTGCGGACCGCACTGGTGGGTTCCGAGGCCTGCAACTCTTCTGGACCTGCAACAACTATGATTTTCGGCCTAAAAAACATCCCGGAGCTCACCCGAGTCCTCGGGACTTCAAACCAATTGTACCAACACATCCCATGACATCGTTCAAACTTGTTCAAAACTTCGGAATGCTCACAACAACATCAAATCACCAATTTAACATTGGATTCGAGCCTATGAACTCCAAGAACTCTAAACTTATGCTTTTGATCAAAAAGTCTATCAAATCTCGTTCGAATGACCTGAAATTTTGCAAGCACATCACATTCAACACTATGGAGCTACTCCAACTTTCGGAATTTCATTCCGACCTTCGGATCAAAATATCACTATCGAACCGGAAACTTCAAAATTCGATCTTTTGGCCTAAATTAGCCATGGACCTCCAAAACACAATCCGACCATGCCCCTAAACCCGAAATCACCCAACGGAGCTAACAGAACCATCGAATTTCCATTCCGAGGCCGTCTTCATACTGTTCCGACTACGGTCAACTTTGCAACACTTAAGCTCTCATTTAGGGACTGAGTGTCCCAAATCTCTCTGAAACTCAATACCGAACATCCCGGCAAATCAAAATAGCAGAAATAAACTTGGGGAAAGCAGTTAATAGGGGATCGGGCGTTAATTCTTAAGACGACTGGCGGGTTGTCACATCCTTCTACACTTAAACATCCGTTCGTCCTCGAACGAGCATCGAGACATACCTGAAGTGAAGCTGCTCATGGCCCCAAACTACTGAGCGATGCGCTAGAGCTCAAAACAACCGGTTGGGTCGTTACATCCTCTCCTTAAATATACGTTCGTCCTCGAACGTGCTAAGAACTGTGTTGGGGTTGTCTGAAATAACTGCTTAACACCCCGAGCACCTGCCCGTGCTACCACAACTCAGCTGGGTACCCTAGCTCGATCAATCTGAAGATATCCTTTTTCACTTAAGCAAATGAGCCTTAGAGCCCAATTCCTACATCCAGAATTCTCTGTCAGGCATGTTCCAACATACGCTCACCGTGTCAATAACTACCCGCGGCACCAAAACATGACTGCATACCTTAGCTGAATTCACACCTCGCACCACTTTACTCACAGGACCACAATAACATTCTCAGATCAATTAGTCAAAATTCCACGAATCTGATGCTCCCATTGCACCTCATGACCTACATAAGTCTTGCTCTAACTCTTACAGTACCGCCAAGACGGAAGAGGTGTGTAGAAATTCATACCCAACTGCCGAATCAACAAATCATTGGCTCTATACTCCTGATAAGAACCGTCACCTCATTCTGAACCAAATAATCACTACAAGAAAAACGGCCTTTAAGGAAGGGAAATATGGTCCTTAAAATCCAAAAATCTGGTCCCAAAAGGGTATATTACGACGGGGAAAAACTGGTCGTAACCCATTGTAATAGCCTCCGCCGCAAAAAGTCATTAACGACGGGTCGAAAAACCTGGTCGCTAAATCACTTTAGAGACGGGGCGAAAACTGGTCGTGAAATACTTTTAGAGACCACATTTATCGTCCCTAATAGGCGATGAAAAAATATTTATTCCCGTCGTGAAATCTTTTTAGCGACCAACTGTATCAGGTCCTAAATTGCCTTTTAGGGACGGACAGAAAACCTGGTCGTGAATAACATTTTGAGACTATATTTCTCGTCCCTAATAGACGATGATAAATATATATTCCCTTCGTTAAATCATTTTAGCGACCAACGCCAACTGGTCCTAAATTATCTATTAGAGACCAACAAAACATCTGGTCATTAAACCATTTTCACGACCAACCTTTAACTAGTCCTAGATTATTTTTAGAGACGACGTCCCTATTTAAAATAATTTTGTAATTTAGCAAAATATTCATGGTCTATTAATAACCATGAGTAGTCCTAAAAGCTCAATGAAACAAAAAGTAATTTTTATCAATAAGTATCAAATTGTTATCGAAAAATCTAGATATAAAAAGATAAGATATCAAGGTCTAATCCAATGATGATGTTACTTTCTATGTTTTCTCAACACCTCAACAGAAAAAAAAACTTAGCTATCATCCTGCGCTAGACTATGATATCAAGTTTTGCATAACATTTTTAGCAAAATAAATAATGACCTTGTGCATCTTCTAAGCTTGCATCTTGACTTATAGCTTCAATCTTCAAAACCTGTAAGTACAAAAGATTGAAAAAAAATGATAAACAACTATTGGTAAAATAACATATATAATTTAAAATGAGCAATAGTTAAATCGCTTACCCCAAAAGCAATTAAATTCACGAGGTGTTATCCAGCAACATCAACAAGGCTACAAGAATATATGAAAAATTATTTAGAAAAGCTTGGAATGGTTAATCTTACTTTGGTTTGATAAATTCCAGTAAGACAATTCGAGATTTACCATTCGAGATTGACCAAGAGCCTGGGAAGTTCAGTTAAATTCAGGAATTCAGGTTGTGAAAATTCAGTCAATGACAAAATACTACTGTTTCATCATTATAGTCATTTCAAGCTTCAAAGATTCTAATTTAGGAAATTGCTGTATTTGGCAGACATCTACCAGAGACGCTAGCGATAAGATGTAGTAGAAATGAGCTAAGTCCATCATGTGAAAAGTGTGATACCTTAACCAAAGTAGCTACCCCAAGCACTTGCAAACATTCATCTCTGGTAATGCAGCCCAAAACCAGCTATAATCTTTGAAAGATCGTTAATATTTGCATCTTTTAAAAAACTACTTATGTCAGTTGACAAGCACAAAGGAATGGATAGCTTCTTAGGAAACTAGCATGAAAGATCGTTAAAGCTATGACAACACCAAAATAAATCTAGTATTTGAACCTGGATACCAGCAGTAGAGATCTACTTGATAATGCAACCAAATAATCTTACACGAAACAGTCAGGTACCATACCAAAAGAAAAAAAGTAGATTGCACAATTTCAATGTTTGGCTCTTAGTCAAAATCATAGCCATTTGTAAGAGATCTTGAATTTTTTTTTTGCGGTTACTGTAGGAGATGGGCAAATTGAGGCTACACGTTTCAGTGGAGCAGCAGGCCCAAAGGTAGTTGTTGATCGAGCAGATGCACCTGTGCAAATTGGAAAGTCTACAAATGATCATATTGCAACTGCTGATCGAAGAGTTTCTACAGATTATAAGGCGGTCAATGTAGAGGATAAATGTACAAGTGCTCAAACTGAAACTGAGCAGGAGACTCTGGCTCAATATGTTGCTGAGGACCAGATTTTAGACAGTAAAATGACTGGCCAAACGGGTGTTGGTATGGAGGTGAACATTGGTAAATCAGTTGGTGCAGGTAAGGGTACTAATACAAATACTAAAGAGGGGGTTTGGAACGTGGTTTCAGCAAGAAAATCACCTACAAAACAGGTGGTATCACCAAGTCAAAAACCAGCAAGTTTTCGAGCTGCAACTGGGGTGGTTAAAACTAATGCTGATCGAGCAACACATGTAGTGGTAGGACATGTTGACAAATATGGAAGTGAAGCAGCTACTGCATGTTCAAAGTAGGAGCTACTGTAGCGTTGAATATGACTACTGATCGACCAAATGTTGGGGCTACCAAATCTACTGCTGCACTTGTTGATTTTGTTGAAAAACTAGCAGGTGACGTGGAGACACAAAATGGTAGGACTACTGCAGGTCAGGTTTTTGTAGTTAACAAGGTGCAAGAAGAAGTGGAGACCAAAAATGCAGTCATTTCATTTGGGCACTCGCCTACACATTCTAAACTTAAAGCAATGCCAGGTTTTTGGTCGAGCACCTGAAATTTACAATAGCAACTGTATAAATGCAGGGAACTTTAATGTTCCAAAAGATGGGGATAAGGTTGATGGTACAACTCAGATGTTAGCTGAGAAAGATTGGACAATGGTGTCCACCAAAAAAACCATTTCAAATAAGAACATGCAACAGTTTGTGAATGATACAGCAGAACACAAGGCAGTGGCTGAACAACATGAAAATTGCAGTCCTCGACCTGCACCTATTTTTGGTAATATAGGTTTCATTTCACCTGCTAAATCAGTGGAAACCTCTGCAACAAATAATACTACAGGTGAACAACTTGAGGGGCAGCAGATACATTTCCAGCTGCATCAATCTTTGGTGGGCAATACTGGGACAGTTCCAGATGCAAACACAATACCAGCAACACGAGATGATTGCGCAATGGTAGGTACACAACATGATGCAGCAGGTGTACATGATATTGGGATGTCCAAACAACTAGTTCCAATTACAATCAATGATGAAGTAGGGCCAGGCAGGCTGGATTTGGTTGAAAAAGTAGGTGCTCGACGAAATAAATCTTTGAGTAATCTGGAAAAAGAATTAACAAACACCCAAGCCCATAGTTCCAATGCACCTTTACTACACTTTTCCAATCCTCAAGTAGAACAAATCCATCAAAGATGTTCAAAAAGAAATGATGCTGATACTACCATGCTAAAACAGCCTTTAGTCACATTGAACACCTCTGTGTTTGATATCCCCTCTCAATCAGTTAATTCCTATGGGGAATTTTAAGGTGAACATGCCTTGTCAACTGGGAACAACAATGGGATCATTCAAACAAAGGTGAAGGGGATGGCTATTAATTCTAGATTGTGGAAAGAACAACGTGAGGAGGATGATGAAGAGGAGTTGGGTGATGGTTTTGCTGGATACTCATCGGAAAAAGGAGACCACGAGGTTGATCAAGCTACAGGAAATCCTCAACCAATAAAAGAAACTTCAACAGACTAAGGCAGCATGTAGAAAGTTCCACTAATAAGATTAAAAAACATAAGCTAACCAAACATTAATATCCTAAAAACAATACTTGAATCACTTCAGTTCTGTAATATAGAAGTTGACTATACGCAAATCTTGAATAAAAATTAAAAAGTTGGGTATATGGTGACTAACTTGGTCAGCAGACAAAAACAGTGGTCATTCAGTTGAAATAGGCGATGTCGTCGTAAGCGGGACATGTGATTGTTGAGCAGTGAAGTACTCTCTCATTTTCCTCATTTCTTTCATCTTATCTTCTAAGGTAGACAAGCGCTCATTCAAGGATTTGTTTTCCTCATTCAAAGATTTGTTTTCTTCTCGAGTTGAACGTAGCGCGGACAGTAATTCAGCCTTTGAAGAAGTTCCACCTTTCAAGTCTTTCGCGTTCACTCCACCCCCAAATCCAAACACATGGCTACGAGTTTGAGGTCCACAACATTTTTCTACAATCTCTATGCTAGGTAGAGATGGATCAGCTTGAACTATTTCTTCGATTTGAGCCTACAAAATATATAAAAACACATTTAAAATCTGAATCCACCATAATTTCAAGTAATTTACATATTCAATTTACCAAACATACATGTTTTTCAATTGCTTCAGGTTCAACAAGCTTGTTATCTTTCTTACGGGTCTCAAAGAAAAATTGTTGCCAATCCGTGGATTGCCATCTTTTCCGCCCTTTAACATCAAAGACAAACATGTCAAATAACAGCTCGTAAATATTTTTCTTACGAAAATCGAAATTTTATGATAATAACCTTTTTGATAAATGATCTCACCGAATAAGCTTGCTACCAAAATAATGATGAAGCATCTTCAACTTAGCTCGATTTGCTGCACTTCCTGTTGCTTCCTTGCCTATATTTGTGAAACATTAAGATTAATGTAAGAAATTGGCCCTTGATGAGCATCTACTGACCCAACAGAATATCAATGTGGACTTTGTTTACTCAAAGGCTACTTACTATCAAGTTGGCCCTGATGAGCATCTACTGACCCCAAATAGTAAACACATTGTTGGCTGAAGCAAATAAGTGTGACAAAAATACTCCTCTACTTGAAGATATTTGCAAGTTTCTGTTTGGTTTGACTTAAACATATACATATCTATGTCCTGACAGCAAAAATGATAAAGAGCAGCAAAAATGCTAAAAGACTAGTTTAACAAACTTTCTTTACGACAAATGCTTCAGAAATAAGTACTAGTATAATCTTAATAGAGCTGATATTTTATGTTGCCTTGGGGGTTGGAGTTCAAATTCATTCTGTTGATCTAAAGTTGAAGGAAGAATTTTTGTAGACAGTATCCATTGCGTGAATCTGAATGTGGAGTTTGAATTCATTCTGTTGATCTAAGCCGTTTTATAGCTTCATCGTAGTTCTAACTTTTCTATTTCCCCTGTTCTGGGCTGCCCTTTGTTTTAAGCAGATCACAGAAAATGTAGAGAGAAATTTTACAGGTTTCAGCATGTGTTGCTTATCTGATCTTGAACTAGGCTAGCTACTCATCCAAGAAGTGCTAGTTTTGGATCTTATAAAGCTATTTGTAGTGGATTCTTGGGATACTAGCGACTCAATGAAAGAGGAACTAACTGGATTCTTAAAAAAAGATGTAATGTAATGAAGGAACTGAGACCTACGATACATCGTTAACTGTGAAATTTGTGAAATTTTTATGTTGTACAACAGCTAGTGTTCCTTGTTATTTCAAACTGTAGTAACTTCTTCAGCTTCTTTATGGCTAGAATTTCTCACATTGTGTTCAATTCGTATGGAATTAAACGATGTGTTCATTCTCTGCTATAGACGAATTAAACAATTCGTATGGAATTAAACGATCTGAATTAAAATACACATCAAAACACATAATTCGATAACTCAAATAAGTGAAACTTAGACGAGAGTTCTTGTCAGCATCATGTATATCTGAAAGGATCCAGACATAAGCTCTTAAATGACTAGGCATACCTGAAAACTTTCTGAACAAAAATGTTCCTTTACTAACCACTCCCATTCTTTCTTGTCTACTCCATTTGGAATATTCTTAAGAGCATATTGGATTGGCTTATCCTTCACATATTTTGCATGCAAGTGTCCTCTCCATTTGTTCCATAACTCTTTCATCCATCCGAAGATATGTTCACGATGATCATTCATGTCAACACTCTCAAATTTATCCTACAATATTCAAAACATGAGTTAGAGTTAAATATTCAATTTTAGTAAATAATCATGATATTGTGTTAGGAGCACATTAAACTGAATCTGTAGCATTTTGATACTCTGTTAGGAGTACATAATCTTGTATATGCACCAACACAAGGCTTAGGCATAAAGGAACAGATAACAGGGCATAAAGGAACAGATAACAAGGAACAAATAACAGGGCAGACGAATCTATGATAACAGAACACACAAGGCATAGGCATAGGCTATAAAGGAACAGATGTCAATCCTGATGAGTGGAAAAAGCTCCCATCACAGTTCAATTTTCACTTTCCCTACAGGAGGCAATTCCCATAATACAACCAAGCTATTAGGAATAGGTCTGAGTTTCTCAACTATTTCACAGATTTTAGGTCAAGACTGATCCAACTTACAGCCCGGGAATGACAATTTCAAAGTTGTTCTAAGGATCCATAACAATATTTTGGTACATACTACTGTACACCACCTTCTTCTCATCCCTATATTTACATGAACTAATACCTTTTCAGATGCCCCAACATATGGCCAAAAGGGTAATGTTAAGGATCATTTTATGAACTCTATTGACAGTCTTGGTACCAAACCAAATTTGTAAGACTTCTCTGATAGGTTTATTATGATGTCTAATACCTAGAGGACCACCAAAGTATCTCCATATTTTTATACCCACCTGACTGTCAATAAACACATGCTAATGTATTTCACATTTTGGAGCAATGCAACAGTGACATTTAGAGACTATGTGATTGCCAAATTTAAAAAGAGCATCATCAAGACTGCCCAGTTCACTCGTTGTGATTCCTATATAGAGGCACAAACAGGAACACATGTATTCAACTAAATGATATGCATCTTCACTGTATAAATATCTTGCTTACCTCAATAGCTGCCCACATGTGATTCAGCTTTTCTTCCTTAATATCATTCCACGATGATACTCCCAATGGACATATATTACGGTCACGAACGATTCTTCCCAAATGCCTCGAAAACAGTTTGCTATTTGTTCCAACTGTACGATTATTGTAAAAGGTTATTTTCAGCTTTTGTCCGACTTCAACTGATGCAACTTCTTTGCACTTGTTCTTCCCTCGAACTCTCTTTACCTTTCCAGGATTAGATGAAGAACCTACGGCTGCACAATTTGGTAAAAAGTATAGCAATAAAATTCAGTTTTATAAATTAATAACATATTGATTCAAAATATCATACTTGTTTCAGTTGCTTGAGAGTGTTGCATAACTTGATCAGTAGATGGAGGCAATGAAATATTGATTTGCATATGCTCTTTCTCAAGAACCAAGGAGTTTTTATCCATTGTTCGCATTTCTTGGTTAGAAGACATGGTAAAATTCGATCTTGTGCTTTTAGAAATCCCTAAAGATGAGCACAAAGATCTAGGAGTTTTCTCCCGTCCCTTCCCTATTGAACCTAGACCAAAAAACCATTTTAATTTGGCATTTAATTTTAGTAACATATGCAATTAAAAATACCAGAGATTTGGAAAAACTTACTTGCTTCAACTTTTTTGGTAAATTGCTTAACTTGATCAGTAGATGGAGGCAATGGAATATCAATTTGCATATACTCTTTCTCAAGAACGATAGAGTTTTTATGTATCGTTCCCGTTCCTTGACTAGCAGACATGGTAGAGCATTTAAGCCCTTGTCCTCGTCCATTCCCAATAGCACCTGGCGAAACGAAATCATATTACTAATATTTAAACATTAAAATTTAGTTGTACACATTAAAAACTGTAGATTTAAATTATCTTACTTGTTTCAATTGTTTGGATGTATTGCTTAACAAGATCACTAGATTGAGGAAATAAACTCTTAATTGGCATATTCTTTTTCTCAACCAAAGATCTAAGCCCTCGTCCTCGTCCTTGTCCCTTTCTTATAGCACCTGGCGGGACGAACGCATATTTGGTTGTACTCTTCATAGTTGATTCCACCTCATTTTCAGTCTTTGATGGCTTTATATTGAACCTGCAAAGAGCCAAAAGTAAAAAAATAGTTAGACAATGACATTATAGTATTGAAAGAAATCATGCCATCAGTATATTTAACAATGAATATACTAATTCATAAATAGATACTTCACCTCATCGGTTCTTTTTCATTTCTTTTGTGAAGGATTTCCTAAGTCTACAATATCATCATCCATTTGTTTTACAATCTCATAGGAATCACGAGGTTGAGTCTTCCTCACTACATGCCAACCTTTGTTGGAGTTATCAATAGCATAAAACACTTGAGATGCTTGCTCCGCTAAAATAAATGGCTCATTTGTTTTCAAAAATCTCCATGGATTAACACTCACGAAGTCATACTCATCTTTTTTAACTCCCTTTATTTTATCATACACATCAAACCAATTACATCGAAATAAAATCACTCTTCTATCCATGAGAAATTGCAATTCAATCACATCTGTTAAAATTCCATAGTAATTAATGTTCTCACTATCTTTATCATTCTCGCAAACTACAACAACACCACAATTTTGAGTCCTTAAATTTTTATCATAGTCTTCTACATGAAATCTATATCCATTAACAATGTAACCATTAAAATGTATCATATATTGGGTAGGACCATGTGAAAGTGAGAGCAGATCTTCCATGATCCGACTATCATCTCCTTTATGCAATTGGGCAACCTATCAATAAGATTAAGTTGAATAATGTAGAATTAGTAATACAACAATAAAAATTCAAATTTGATTTTTATGTACTACTCACCCTAACTTTAAACCATTCAATAAATTGTCGGTTCTATTCTGCATCAAACAAGTGTTGCACAGTATCCACATGTGTTTGTGCAAACTCTTTACAAATTTGAAGTGAACCATAATGTCATATAAAAAATATTACCCTAAAGGAAATAAGAAAAGTGAGACAATATGAAAGTACTCTCCATACTCGAGATATGGTATGACTTCATCGCAATTCTTCAGTATGTATATATGTGGTTGTTCCAATTCATTTGCTTCAAGCTCACATTGTTCTTTAGCTCCCAGAGTACTTCCAGGTTGATAGAACATAGATAAACCTCCATTAGAATTTTTCAAACCCCCGTCATAATTTCGTTCAGGTCGATTGAATTTTGTGTCAATCGTATGCAGATACCGTGAACATAAGGTCATACATTCTTTTGCATTGTAGCCCTCTGCAATAGAGCCTTCTGGACATGCCCTATTACGAATCAAAGATTTCAAAAAATATAACCATCGTTCCACAGGATACATCCACCGATAATGAATAGGTCTAGCAATCTCAACTTCACTAGCTAAATGAATAGGCAAGTGCACCATGACATCAAAAAATGAAGGAGGGAAAACCTTTTCTAACTTGCAAAGCGTTATGGGAATTTGCGCTTCAATTTGTTTCAAGTCATCAACCCTTAACTCCTTTGATCCAAGCACATTAAAGAACAAAGATAACTCAATAAATTGTTCACACACTTCTTTGGATAACATACCACGAAGTGCAAGAGGGAGTATATGTTGCAGAAGAACATGGCAATCATGACTTTTTAACCCAGATATCTTGTGATCTTTCAGGTTCACACATTGAGAAATATTAGATGAAAACCCATCAGGAACCTTTAAATTCTTTAGGAATTGGAATAATTTGTGCTTACTTTCGGGAGGCAATGTGTAGCATGCAGTTGGAACTTCAACTTTCTCCCCTCTTTGGATGGGGTGCAATTCTAGCCTAATATTCATGTCTTGCAAGTCTAATCGTATTTTAATTGTATCCTTGGTCTTTCCTTTGACATTCATGATTGTTCCCATAATATTATCACATATATTTTTTTAATATGCATAACATCCAAATTATGTCGCAACAAGAGAGACTTCCAATATGGAAGTTCAAAAAAAATACTTTTCTTGTTCCAATTATCCTTCCGATTTTCATGTGATATCTTCTTCCTTTTCTTTGGATCCTTTGTTAACTGTATCCCTTCAAGATCTTGCACTTTATTAAGAATCTCAATACCGGAAAGCATTTTTGGTGGGAGCCTTTTCTCTTTTGTACCATCAAATGAATCCTTGTCATTCCTCCATTTGTGGCTAAGAGGAAGGTAGCGTCGATGACCCATAAAACATTGCTTCTTACTATTAGCCTATCGAATTGAGGAGGTGTCTTTATTGCAACATGGGCATGCCAATTTTCCTTTTGTACTCCATCCAGATAAATTTCCATAGGCTGGAAAGTCATTGATGGTCCATAACAAAGAAGCATGCAACTTAAAATTCTGTTTAGATGATGCATCAAAGGTCTCAATGCCAACTTCCCACAACTCCTTCAATTCCTCTATTAATGGTTGAAGATATGTATCAATTGCATCTCCTGGACTATCTGGACCTGGAATAAGCATTGACAAAATAAAATTTTCTTGTTTCATACACAACCAAGGTGGTAAATTATAAGGAATAAGAACCACATGCCAAATGCTATATGAGGTTTTTAAATTCCGAAATGGCTGAAATCCATCACTGGCAAGTCCAAGTCGGACATTACGAGGCTCTGTCGCAAATGAAGGATAAAGTTCATCAAATGACTTCCACGCCATTGAATCAGCTGGGTGCCTTATTATTCTATCATCAACTCTTTTATCTTTATGCCATGTCATTAAAGTAGATGTCTTTGTAGACATAAACAACCTCTAAAGCCTTGGCTTTAATGGAAAATAGCGTAAAGTCTTTGACGCTTCTTCTTACCTTTTTTATTCCTTGTTTCCCCGCTATGTCTATCTATTTTCCATCTAGACGCACCACAAACATTGCAAGAATCAAGTAAGCTATCCTCCTTCCAGTATAACATGCAATCATTAGTACAAACATCAATCTTGTTGTAGGAAAGGCCAAGGTCTTGAATTATCTTCTTTGCCTCATAATACGATTTTGGCAAATCAGCACCATCAGTAACAACTCCTCTTTTAACATTTTCAATAACATTGGGAATGACTCATTACTCCAACGACCCATACTTTTGATGTGAAGCAATTTAATCAAAGAGGAAAGCTTTGAAGCTTTTGAATTTTGGTACAGTGGCTGCTCGAAATCCTTTAATAGCCTGTAAAATCTTTTTGCTTCAATATTTGGTTCCTCTTCAATTAAATCGTCACAATCAATGTGCACGGTTCTTCCATCAATATTAGGATATAGATCTCTCAACAATTCTTGTACTTCATCTTCACTTTCACATTCTTCTAGTTCATCACCGTCTTCATCTTCTGATTCTGACAGTGGCTCACCAAACTTTTCCCCGTGATGATACCAAAAAGTATAATTTTGAATTATTCCATATACTTTCAAATGTGTCTCAACTATCTTACGAGTTCCTAAAGTTGTATTACAACATTTGACATACGGACAACGTATTTCATATTCTTCTCCTGTTTTTTGAAAAGCATAATCCAAAAACTTTTGCACTCCGATTAAGTAGGCTTCATCGAGCCGATTATCAACAAGTTGCATCCATTGCTTACTAGGTGCCATAACCTTGGAGAGTAAATAAAAATGAAATTAAATAAAGATAAAAGATAAGAAAAATACTACGATGCACACTACTTGTTATGATCAGATGAACATAACCGATTCAACTCTAAGGTCTCACATTCTAGTCGACTCGGCTCCTCTGTTTTCAGCTCAAAGAAATTTTTATTTGCTAGATGACACAATAACAGATTAACGAAACTCAGGAAAACGTGAACTGCACAAAAATATTCACAATGTAAGTAGTATAAACTTTCAGAAACAGCAAGAATAATCAGTTTATACATAAAACTAGGGCAGCCCCAAACAACAAACTTGAGCAAACTTTCAGTTTTTTAATCAGCTTATAGAAGAAATCCCAAACAACAAACTTGAGCAAACTTTTTGTTATTTAATCAGTTTATAGAAGAGATCCCAAACAACAAACTTGAGCAAACAACAGTAAAAATTATAGCAGCCCAAATATTCTCAAGATTAATCCCTCGCTGAATACATAAAACTAATATGCCATTCATGGAATAATTAGCTTTCAAAACCAGACGATTCTCAAAGGATGCATACCTTGGAATAATTAGCTTTCGAAACTTGACTAATATTCCATTCATGGAAGAAGAAGAAAGAAGAAGAAGAAAAAGAGCAACTTGAAAGAGGAGGCATACCTTGGATTCTCAAAGGAGGAGATGGAAACTAGGGCAGACGATCAGATCAGTTGATCGATTTTGGCTCGCACACGACCAGACGAGCAGACCAGCTCTAACGCTAGCTTGACGGGAGATTAGGGCAGAGGATTCTAGCGGCACTCTGTTTTGAGATAACAGAGGTTTAATTTTGTTAAAACCTTTTACTTTTTAGTTTTGGCGCCTAATTTTTAGAAAAAAATAATTTTTTAGTATTTTGGTATTAGATTTGGCGGGACTCTCTCACACTCAAGGCCTCTCAATTATAATTTGGGACCAGTTACTATTTTTTTGGGACCAGATTTATTACCTTCGCAATAAAATAAAGCATTAAGGACCGCAATATAATCTCGTCCCAATACATATATTATTAGCGACGAGATTATTTACTCGTCCCTAAAAGTTGGTCGTAAATAAGGCTTTTTCTTGTAGTGATATTTTAGAATAGATTTATCTTCAATCTTTAGATTTTCATCTTGTATTTGAATATTATGGCTTATATTTTATCCTCATGTTTGATTTCTACTATTATTATGAGTAGCTAAACCCCATAGCTAGGGTTGTGACCCAACCCTAGTGTGGGTATTTAATGGGTCTTGAATTTTAGGGCTAAATTGTTTATGGGTTAGTGATATTTAGCTTAATTCATACTTTAATTGTAGAATTAGTGGTTGCAAACACTGATTCGTGCCTTTATGACTTAGACGCTTCTTGAGAAAGAGGGTCTAAGTCTAGGAAAATTAGGCTAACAAGGAATTGGGGTGAATTCAAGAGATTGAAGTCCCAATTAAAGGGTTAAACCTAGAGATACTCATACCCGACTTGAGTCAATATCATTTGTTATGCATGAACAACCATTTGGACTTGAGAAAGCCAAATTGGGTGAAGTCACTCAATCTACCGAGAGGTATAGAGTGAGCACTTATGTGTGATGGTTATATCACGACCTCAATCATAACTAGCTTGCCCTGAATTCTCGATACCTGTTAGATACCCACCTTGGTATAGTCACTAACCTAGTGCCTTTTTAACACTTGAAAATTCCCACCAAAAATAGTGTACTTAGCTTATTCTAGCATATTATGTATAGAATTAGAAGTATAATCAATCATGACCATGTTTCGAGGTGCAATTTAGAACAACACGCATATCTAGATTAGTTAGATACCTAACTCCAAATCAATTAACTCCTTGTGAAAATCGATCCCGACCTTTATTGGGTAAGACTGCGTTGACCATCCTTGCCACTCAGTAGTGGTACACACTTGGAACCGATCAATTTTTGGCGCAGTTGCCGGGGAGTTAGACGGTCTTAGCTATCTATCTAACTAATTGTGTGTTTTGTTTTTCTTTCCTTCTGATTATCTAATTTGTTTGTGAAATTACTTTTAGGTACAAAATGGCTCTTAACAATGATGCTCCCAAAAAATTGTCATTGGGGGAGGAGGTATATGATAATAATGTGGATGAGATTCAACCCGAACCACAAGCACAAAGGAGAGGCCGACCACCTCACGATAATATTCCAAACCCTTCCCCACCTCCAGCAAGGGCAACACACCGATGTTGCCCAACGAAGGTTACGCAAGTGCAATAGTCCGGCCCCAGATTAGTGTGGGCAACTTCCAAATAACCAACGTTATGCTTACACTCTTGGAACAGAGGGGTTTCTTTACCGGAGCACCACACCAAAATGCCTACAAGCATCTCAAGGGTTTTGTTGATACATGCCGGGGGAGCAAGCAAACTAACGTTTCTGAAGACGCGTTGAGATTAAGGCTTTTCCCATTCTCTCTAAGGGGGAAGGCTTTGGATTGGCTCGAGAGGTTGCCCAACCATTCCATCACCACTTGGGATGAGTTGGCCGAGAAATTCATAGCAAAGTTCTTCTCGCCAGGACATATGGCGACACTGAGAGAAGAGATCCTTGCCTTTAAAAAAGAGCCAAATGAACCGCTTCATGAGATTTTGGAAAGGTATCGGATGATGGTTAAAGAATGTCCGAACAATGACATGACCGAAGCTATGATCCAGCAAACATTCTATCGTGGCATCAACACTACCAACCAGTGTGTAGTTAACTAACTCTCCGGGGGAAACTTTATGAACACTCCTTATGCTGAGGCATCTGATATACTTGATGAGATGGCGGATACTTCCTCGGCGTGGCAAAGTCGAGCTAATGTGCCACATGGTGATCCCAATGTCATTCACCTACACAAAGAGCTCCATGACCACGGCCAAGAAATAACCGAGTTAATTACAACCATGAACCAGTTGGCCAAAGCTCAATTGCAACAAGTTCAAGGGCCAAAACAAGTGAATGCCATGGAAGGGGTAAATATGATGGTCAACAGGAGGAGGCAAAGAGGTCAACAAAGTCAAGGAAATCCGGATCAATATGATCAAGGTGGTAGTAGTTACAATTAAAATGATGTGTATGATGATCAAAGTGAAGAAGTTCAGTATGTGAACAACTACCAAGGACAACGGGGCAATGCTCCCAATCAACAACAACAGTGGAGATCCCAAGGAAAATGGGGGAATCAAAATCAACAAGGAAATTGGAATAGTGGAAACAGCAACAACCAAAGCAACTAGGGGAACAACAATCAAAATTTGGTCAACCAAGGTAACCAAGGAAACTGGGGTGGCAATATCAATAGCAATTGGGGAGACAACAACAACCAAGGGGGTTGGAATAATAATAATAATTAGGGGAATCAGGGGCCGGGTTTTCAAAGGCCTCCGATGTATCAACAACCAAACAACCTGCCTCCATTTCCGACTCAAGGCCCTAGCTTGTCCAACAATGAGATGGGACGGATTGAGTCAATGTTTGAGCAAATGATGAAGAAAAACGCCGACTCCGATACCCAATTGGCGTCCCATAATACTTCTATACGCAACTTGGAGGTCCAACTTGTCCAGATTTCTCAAGCTTTGAATACTCGCTCTAAAGGGGCACTACCTAGTGACATGGTAGTAAACCCGAAGGGAGGGACCAATACGGGCCATGCTATGGCGGTGACTACAAGGAGTGGTAGAGTTGGTGTTGATAATACCTCTAATGCAAGAAAGGATGTGAGTGATGATGTGTTGGTGCAAGATGATGATAGCAAAGCAATGATGTGCAAGTAAGTGATGAGAATGTGAATGAAGAAGTGAGAATTGACATTGATGACAACATGGAGGAGACAGAAAATGATGTGAACCCGTCTGGGGAACATGTGATAGACATACCGGAAACAGTAGTGCCCAAAGCTAAGGCTCCCTTGACAAGGCCTCCTCCACCATGCCATCAAAGGCTTGCAAAATAGAACAATGAGAACGAGTTCAAGAAATTTATTGATACAATGAAGAGTTTGTCGATAAATATGCCTTTGGTGGAAGCTCTTAAACAAATGCCAGGATATGCCACGTTTATGAAAGACTTGGTAACAAAGAAGAGATCCATAAATTGTGAAACTATCAAGATGACACATCAAGTGAGTGCCACTGTACATTCCATGGCCCCAAAACTAGAAGACCCCGGTGCTTTTACAATCCCGTGCACTACTGAGAGTGCCGATTTTGCCAAAGCTTTGTGCGATTTGGGGGAAAGCATTAACTTGATGCCATATCCTGTGTTCAAGACATTGGGGATTGTGCAACCAAGGTCCACATCCATGAGGTTGCAGATGGCAGATAGGACAATGAAGAGGCCAATAGGGATAATTGACGATGTGCTAGTGTAGGTCGACAAGTTCATACTTCCCGCGGATTTTGTGATTCTTGACTACGAGGTTGACTATGAGGCGCCGATCATATTGGGGAGACCTTTTCTATCTACAGGGAAGGCTTTAGTTGATATGGAAGGAGGGGAGCTCACCTTTCGGGTGGGTGATGAAAGTTGTGTTCCATGTGTGCAATTCAATGAGGCAGCCTAATAGCAACGAAGTATGTTCATTTGTGGATCTTGTGACCGAGGTGATTGTTGAAGACACCAGTGCTAAGATTAATGTGGAGGGACCTTTGAAAGCTGTGTTGTTGAACCGTGATTTGACTTAGAACGAAGGGTTGGTGGAATATGTCAACACTTTGCAAGGAATGGGTTCATACACATATGAGCCCCGAAAACTTTCCTTGGATCTTGAGAACCAAAAGACTCCACCAACAAAGCCCTCAATCGAGGAGCCTCCCATATTGGAGTTGAAGCATTTGCCTTCACACCTCAGGTATAAATTCTTGGGCCATTGTTAAACTTTACCTGTTATTCGTTCTTCGTGATTAACTAACGTGAAGGTAGATGCCACCCTTGCAGTGCTCCAAAGAAGGAAAAAGGCAATTGGATGGACTCTAGCTGACATTCGGGGGATAAGCCCCGCCTTTTGCATGCACAAAATTATACTTGAGGATGATGCCAAATCCTTTGTGGAACATCAAAGGATGTTGAATGAGGCCATGCAAGAGGTCGTCAAGAAGGAAATTATCAAGTGGCTGGATACATGAGTTGTGTACCCTATTTCGGATAATTCATGGACTTCGCTGGTACAATGTGTGCCGATAAAGTGGGGTATGAATTTGGTCACAAATGAGAAGAATGAATTGATCCCCACTAGGATTGTCACCAGATGGAGGGTATGTATGCATTACCGAAAGCTGAACAAAGTGACCCACAAAGACCACTTTCCATTGCCCTTTTTTGACCAAATGTTAGATAGACTTACCGGGCGTCCCTACTATTGTTTTTTGGATGGGTACTCAGGCTACAACCAGATTTTGATTGCACCGGAGGACCAAGAGAAAATCACCTTCACGTGTCCGTATGGCACCTTTGCATTCTCACGGATGCCATTTGGTTTGTTTAATGCACCGGCCACCTTTCAACGGTGTATGATGGCTATATTTACGGATATGGTGGAGGACTTCCTTGAAGTGTTAATGGATGATTCTAGTGTTGTGGGTGACTCCTTTGAAGAATGCTTGGGTAATCATGACAAAGTGTTGGTCCGATGTAAAGAGACCAACTTAGTACTTAAATTGGGAGAAGTGCCACTTTATGGTTGAGGAGGGCATTGTCCTCGGCCATAAGATCTTAATGAACGGTATTGAAGTGGACAAAGTGAAGATTGAAGTGATTTCAAAACTCCCCTCCTACTTCCATCAAGGGAGTTAGGAGCTTTCTAGGGCATGCGTGGTTCTACCGAAGGTTCATCAAGGACTTATCTAAAGTGGTGAATCCCTTGTGCATGTTGTTGGAAAAGGATGCAAAGTTTGTGTTTAATGATGATTGCATGAAAGCTTTTGAGTTCTCAAGTATAGATTGACTACCACTCCCATTATCACCACACCCAATTGGAGCTTGCCATTTGAGCTCATATGCGATTCTAGTGACGTTGTGGTAGGAGCGGATTTGGGGCAAAAGATCAACAAGATATTTCATCCGGTCTATTATGCAAGCAAAACGATGAATGATGCCCAAGTCAATTATACTGTGACCGAGAAAGAGTTACTAGCCATTGTCTTTGCCATGGAAAAGTTCAGGCCATATCAAGGGTACCAAAGTGATTGTGCACACCGATCACGCGGCACTCCGTTACTTGATGACGAAAAAGGACTCTAAGGCTAGGTTGATGAGATGGGTTCTACTGCTTCAAGAGTTTGACCTTGAAATTATTGATCGAAATGGGTGTGAAAATCAAGTGGCGGACCACTTGTCCCGTTTGGAAGAGGAGGGGAGGCCCCATGATGGCCTCAAAATTAATGATTCGTTTTTGGATGAACAATTCCTCTCCGTGTCTTTGAATTTTATGCCTTGGTTCGTCGATGTGGCTAACTTTCTTCTGACCGGCATTGTCCCGAGTGAGCTCTCTTCTAACTAAAGGAAGAAGCTTAAACGAGACAACTTGGATTATTACTGGGACGAGCCTTATCTTTTCAAGATTTGTAATGATGGTGTGATCTGGAGATGTGTTCCGGAAGAGGAGCAAATGAGTATTCTTGATGCTTGCCATTCCTCGCCCTACAGTGGTCATCATGGTGGGGCGAGAACTGCTTCAATGGTTCTCAGCTGTGGATTTTATTGGCCTACCCTGTATAAAGATGCTAGTGAGCTTGTTAAGAGATGTGATGAGTGTCAGAGAGCTGGTGGAATTTCCAAGAAGGATGAAATGCCTCTCACCACTATTCTTGAGATTGATATTTTTGATGCGTGGGGCACGACTTCATGGGGCCATTTGCGAGTTTATGTGGTAACACTTACATTTTGGTTGATGTTGATTATGTTTCCAAGTGGGTTAAAACTGTGTCTTTGCCAAACAATGAGGCACGAAGTGTGGTGGTTTTCTTAAAGAAATACATCTTCACAAGGTTTGGCACTCCAAGGGTAATCATCAGTGATGGGGGTTCACATTTTTGCAACAAGTCCTTCGATACTTTACTTTCCAAGTATGGTGTCAATCATAAGGTGTCAACCCCTTATCATCCCCAGGCTAGTGGACAGGTTGAGGTCTCCAACAAGGAGATCAAGAATATTCTTTTCAAGACTATCAATGCAAACCGGACTGATTGGTCAAGGAAACTTGACGATGCTTTGTGGGCTTACAGAACTGCGTACAACACTCCAATTGGTATGTCTCCGTACCAGTTGATATTCGTGAAAGCATGCCATCTTCTGGTGGAATTAGAGTATAAGTCCACGTGGGCGCTGAAGAAGTTAAACCTTGAATGGGATGTATTTGCAAATCTCGCGGTAGAGCAACTAAATGAACTTGATGAGTTTCGGTTTCATGCTTATTCAAGCTCGTCCTTGTATAAGGACAAGATGAAGTATTTACATGACAAATATGCCCGGCGCAAGGAAATCAAGGAGGATGACTTGGTTGTTCTATTCAACTCTCGATTACGACTGTTTCCGGGAAAGCTCAATCAAAATGGAGCGACCTTTTTGAAGTGGTGCATGTAACTCCGTTGGTGCTCTTGATTTGAAAAAAAAATGGTGAAATCTTCAGAGTTAATGGGCACCGAGTGAAGCACTATCTTGGCAAGTTTGATGATAGCCACATGGTGGCATTGATTCATTTCAAATGAATGATGGTAACATGCATCTTGCCGCGACATTAAATCAGGCGCTTCTTGGGAGGCAGCCCATGTATTTTTCTTTCTTTTTGATTTTCTTCTTAGTTTAGGCTTTGTCTTGGACTAATTGGTTGTGAAGTTTGTGTAGGAATTGCTTGTTCAGTGCAGGATTGTTGCTGGAAAAATGTGCCTAAGTGTGGGGAATTATGCGGACCGCGCTCAAAATTACGCGGTCAGCGAGAGCTTTTCGAGGGGGCGCAATTTGTCAGCGGGCGCGGACTTCAAAAGTCTAGAATATCAACTCTCTGAAGTTGTATTCACGTCCGAATTCGTTATTTCTTGGTCCATGTTGATCTTATGCAACCGCGCCCTTTTTTTCGCTCTCAACGAACATGTTTCTGAAAAGGATCTTCATCAGGTAAAAGTTTGCGGACTGCGGTAGAATCCTGTGGCCCCGTTCAGGTAAGTTGTGGGTCCCTATTTTGTTGGTATAAATAGAACGTCCTTAGCACTGTTACCCTTTTTTGACCCTCGAACTCTCAGAGCAATCAGACTACTAATCACCCTTTTCTACTTTGAACTTCAATCTCATATCATTAAGCAAGAGTTAATTTCTACCAGAAATAACACAACTGGTATGTTCAAATTTTTGTAGTAATTTTATTTTCTTTCTTTTCTTTTATTTAATTTTGCTTTTTCTTTTTGATTAGGGTTAATACATGCCAAAAATCAATATCATGCTTAATTGATGCTAAAATTCATGTGGGTACTTGTTTTGCATGCCTAAGGGGGATAGGGTTGTTCGTTATGACTGTTAATTGCTCAAATTGTTTCACTAAGTGAAACCCTAGGTCTAAGATAACTCATCAGTGCCCGTCTGGTTTAATTTTCGCGGACAACGGTCCATATTATGTTGTCCGCGTTCATGCTTTTGTGAGGCTGAATTGCTTACAAGTTTGCGGACGCGGTGATTTTTCCGTGGTCTGCGGTTGGCTTTACGCGGCCGCGTGCATAATTTCACGGACCACATTAATGAATTATAGAAGGTCTGCAAATAGCTTCCCCATGGAGACAGAGACCACATAGGGAGTTTTCTTTACTCTCTATCCCTTCCCTGATCTTATTTTTTGCTTTTAGCATTGAGGACAATGCTAGCTTTTATTTGGGGGGGGGGGGGGGAGGGGTGGTCTTATTTTGATTTGATGACTGGCATGTAATAATTATGATACTATTTTTTCTTTATTTTTACTTATTGTTATTTTTCACTTTCGTTATTTTTACTTTTGGTATGTATATAACTTTACCATTTATTTTTCACTTTCGTTATTTTTCACTTTTGGTATGTATATAACTTTACCATTCTATGTATATATTCATTCCTATTTTGTGTATATTCGTTTCTTTCCATTATTGTACATATTCATTTTACTTTTTGTAGTTTACTTTATAACTTCTTGTGTTCTTTTTCCTTAATTGCTTAGCTTTTTATCTCCTTTAGTAGCTTTTTTTGAGTTATTAGATTCGTGATCAATAAGCCTTTGGTTTTATTAATGCCATGGTTCTTTGCAAAGGTGAATGTTGTGTGAACCGGGTGGCTCTTCCCGATGATGGATGGTGTGAAAACCTTCTTAAGGGTTTGAGTCTGTTTCCTATTTCTTTTTGTGTAAATAGTAGTAATGAATAAAAGTGTTTCAGGCAAGCTTCACTTGGGCCTAACACATTTACCTTTGACCTTATGGTTGGAAACAAGTTGATTGGCAAAGAATAGTTCTAGTTGTGACCTTTAGACTCCTGTGTTGACTAAACAATCACCGAGTGGCTTCTTGGAGCCATTTGTGTTGCTCAATCGTTGCTAGGGTTGTTGCGGGCCCTCGACTCTGTTCTCTTTAGCAATCCAACAGCTTGTGAGGTGAGGTATTAATTTGGAAGTCCAAGTCCCGTGCCAATAAGTCTAGAACTTGCCCTGTCTGTTTGTCTAGGCAAAATTTTAA